CACTATATGAGCTGTAGTCAAAACTCCTTTAAAGGGGATTATATAGGGGACTCTACAGGGGACTAGTATAGGGGTTATTAAGGGGGATACTAGGAGTTTAGACTATAGCTCATATGAGCTATATTCTAAACTCCCTTTATCCCTCTTAATAGCCCCTATAGTAGTCCCTTATATAGTCCCCTATTATACTCCAATTTAGGAGTTTAGACTATGGCTCAACAAGCCGCAGGCCGCAAGCCCCAACTTCTAAATCTGTCAGTGGCCATGGATCATAAAAAATCCTCTTATGATAACGCCCTCAAAAAGCAAGCCTGTTAAGGACGGTCCTTCTTGGCCTTCTCATATGGGGTTTGCCCGACAGTCGTGGGCCCAGATATTGTCGTAAACATACCAACACATTCTTTACTAGGTGCCTTCGAAAAAAGGCCCATAATTCGCGGAACCGCTCATATGCAGTCATGAGAAGGAGACCCCGAGTCCTACAAATCCCTACATCCTTTTCCTTTTCCATATGGGGCTGATTCCCGAATTACTGGAGCAATATCCCTAAACCTTGATCCCCTAAACTGCCCTAAACACTAGATAATCTCCAGAACCCCCCTGCACATCCTACATATCCCCTTTAAAGGGATCCTATAGATTCCTATAATGTAGGGTCCCTTTCGCGCGAGGAACTGAGAGAGGATCCTTAGCAATCGCGGAGCTGCAGGGCTCAAACGCAGGAGCCTGTGAAGAGTCACCCCTGTTTAGGGTTTAGGGCGCAATTACCCTAAACAATATACTATAGTAGTTTCCATTTTCTTTTCCATTGTCCCTAAATAACGCCTAAAATGGAGTCCGGCAAGTCTCTACCCTACACCCTAATGACCCTAGTCACTAACGAGGGGTTACGGACCACAGTCTTAGTAGAATCCATGGCCGTGCCTGTGCATCTGCAAGTTGGCCGCCTCTTGTGGAGCCTTGCGCTCTACGGAGGCACTGTAGCCTGGCTTTACCGCCTCCTTCGAACCACCGCTAGATACAAGGCGCAGCGGGAGGAGGAGCACCAGGAATTCTGTCAGAATTTGGGCCAGCCGCATCTCGATGGTTGTTGGGAATGTAGTGCTATTGCTCATATTATCACTATCCTTGTTCTAAGGGGAAAGTGGGGTGGGGATATGTACATATGATATGATATATACTATATTATATTATATTATATTACATAATATCACATTATATTACATATATATATATTATACATAATACAGATTATACTAGATATATATGAAGGTCTATTGGGTGGATAAGGTTTACACAAGGTACACGCGGCCTGTAATTTTCCGAGGCTTGGGGATCCCTTGCTTCTTTTTGGAAACCCTAATGTAGAGCCATATATTCGGGTTTAGGGTTAGGGTTATACAGGGGTTATATTGGGATAATGGAAAACAAAATGGAAACTACTATTTAGGGTTTAGGGTTAAACCCCAAGCATTGGCTTGCTTAGGGTCGCCTATAAGAAGGATCCCTTAATCTTTTTTTCCACAGTTACGGCCCTAAACCCCAAGCGTTACAATCTAAAACCTCAAACCTAAACCCAAAAACCTATCCAATAGAGATTGATCCAAAGAAGGCATGGAACAAGCTACTCAATAGAGATTAAGTAAAACAAGGCATGGAGAGCCGCTGGATCGGTCGGAGAGGGAGCGAGAAGGCTTTCTGGGGAACACGACGAACTTCGAGGCGACAGGGGTTTAGGGTTCAGGATGTCGAACATAGCTTTGAATTCTTCATCCATCATACCTGTATATTTCCGTTAATATCGCTGGAAAGCCACTACAAGTTCAACAATTTTGAGGCCCCAAACCTACCCTAGGCGAGGGATGTGGACGACAACATGTTTGCCGACTCCCTGGGCGGGCACATGCTGAGATACAATGCCGACCGCTCACTTTCCTTCCAGGCCGACTTCACAGTCAGAGTTAGGGGTTTCCCAAGATTAAGGGTACCCTTTTGGGGGTCCTAATAAGAAGGACTATAGTTTATTGGGTCTAGATTGGGGTCCCCTCATTTTGGGAAACTACCAGTTGCAATGGATTATTACTGCTATTTGCTTAAGAACCACCCCAAAAAATATTCTTCCTTATGAAGAATATATAGGTATTATTTGTTTAAGGATTCTGAAGCAAATAGTAGATTAGGTTTTTCAGGAAGTTACGACACTCATGTAGCATGGTTGTTCTCTTCTTTCCAGGTCATCTTCATGTTCCAGCACACTCTCTTGTCCAACTCTCAGATCCTTCGCCACATGTTGGTTTCAGTGCTGGTGGCAGCTTTGCTATGCTTCGTCCACATTGCCGCGCGGATCTTTGTGGACGTGGAGATTTTGCAGGGCGCGTGGCTGCAAGATCTGGACAACATGAGCGATTTCCTGACATCCCTGATTGGCATCCTGTTGGGCTTCTACATCTCGACTGTTATGACCAGGCTGGGGAACTTAAATTGATTTACCATAATGGGTATGTATATAAATGTAAACATATATATATAATAGTAGAGTTTCCCCAATATAGTAACTTAATTCAAGTTCCTTAACAGCAGCCCTGTAAAACGCTAAACCCTAAACCCTAAATACTATGTACTAGTTTCAGTTTTCTTTTCTATTAAGATCCCCCTAAGCCCTAAACCCTGAGAACACAGGTGGTGGAGTATACCATAATGGGTATGTATATAAATATAAAAATACATAGTAAATCATAAGGTTTCCCCAATGTAGTATCTTGATTTGAGTTTCTTAACAGCAACCCAGTACCTAAACCCTACACCCTAAACGCTAGGTGGTGGAGTATGCGCAGCCAGGGGATTGGTGGGCTTTGGGGAGGTGTGGTGGATCTTTGTATCCTCACTGGGTCTTTCTTTCCGGGCCCGGAATCTGGATTAATGTTAGGGATGAGGGGTTTAGGGGTTTAGGGTTTAGGCTTGTATGGGATTCCTTGGGTTTATGTAAAAAAGGAACCTTGTTTCTTCCTAGGGTAATGTGGGCTAAGGAATGGCGCACGATGCGCAGCATGGTGTTGCGCTACGGACTGGTCTCGTTCGAGCTCACCTTCATGCAGAATGAGGGCCGTGACGAGGTTCATGGCCAGGTTTAGGGTTTAGGGTTTAGGGTTTAGGGTTCCAGGTAGATTAGGACCCTTAAGGGGTACGGGTACATGCAGGGTATATTATAGCTACATAAGACTCCCAGATGTAAGGGCCCGTACTAGGAGTCCGTGACAGTAGAAGGAAGTACTGGTGCTTCCGGGGCAGGGGAGAGTGGGCGAGTGGATCCCCATAATAGTCTTTATAGAACCCCCCGTACTAGTTTCTATATTCTTTTCTCCACTTGCCCCTAAGCACCAGTAAGTATACCCAAAACTCTCAGCCCTATACTTGAGCTAGAATAGTAGGTTCCTTTTTCTTTTCCACTTTCCGTCCTGCAAGCACCAGTCAGACAATTCAGCTTCTACACAACCCCCCAAAACATTGCAAGAACCCAGCTTCTATCTGATTATCCTTTTTCGTTCCCATCTTTATCTGATTCTCCAACAATGGTAACACCTGCACCCTATCTATCCCTCCATGTCCCTGTACAGGCCCAACATAACCCCCGCCATATAGCCCTAAACCCTAAACCCTAAACCCCTAAACCCCTAAACCCTAAACCCCTAAACCCTAAACCCCTAAACCCCTAAACCCCTAAACCCTAAATCCCAGTAAGAGGAGCTGGAGGGGCTGGTCCAAAGGCACCTCCTCACTCGTGACTGGGTTGCTTTAATCTAAGGCGGTTTAGGGTTGAGGGTTGAGGTTTGAGGGTTTAGGGTTTAGGGTTCAGGGTTTAGGGTTCCGGGTTTAGGGTTCAGGGTTTACGGTTTAGGGTTTAGGGTAAGGGTTTAGGGTTCAGGGTTTAGGGTTTAGGGTTTAGGGTTCAGGGTTTAGGGTTCAGGGTTTAGGGTTCAGGGTTTAGGGTTTAGAGTTTAGGGTTTCCCAAAAATTAGGGGTACCCTTTTTGGGCGGTCTTATAATAAGGATACAAGCATTTTGGGGTCTATATGGGGGTCCCCCTATTTTGGGAAACTGCCATTTAAGGAAGCTAAATCAGGCTAATCTACTACCCTGTGTGGGATTTAGGGGCTCAAACTCAGTTACGTAACCCTATAGGCCCTACATAAATCCGAGTGAACCCCTATGAGATCCCTTTAACCCCTTAAGGGAACCCACCATCCCTCCACCCGAAACCCTAAACCCTAAATCCTAAACCCTAACGGTTTACGGTTTAGGGTTTAGGGTAGACCCCCGAAAAAGTATGTAGAATAATAGCCCTAAAACCACAACAACAGGGCTTAGGGTTTTGCCCAGAAATGTTTTGGAAGAGCCTAGGACAGTCCCCAGAACAGCCCAGAAATGGTGTGGGAGAGCCCAAGCCTTAAACCCTAAACCCTTCCACCCTAAATAGTAGTTATCATTTCATTTGCAGTATCCCGGAATAACCCAAATATCAGAAACCAATGCAGAAGCCCAGGTGACGAGGCGGCCAGACTGGCTGGCCAACCCTCCAAGTGTGGAGCCGTGTGGGCTTGGTGGCAGTTCGGTATACTCAGGGAGCCCAACCTCTTAACTTGGGTTTAGAGTTTAGGGTTTAGGGTCTAGGGTTTAGGGTTTAAGCCAGCCATATTCAGGATCCTAGTGCCCTAAACCTTATACTAACTATATAATCTACATCGGGCCCTCTAGGTAGTTGTTTAGGGTCTGGCGCTTCAGGCTTGAGGCTTATGGTTGATGGGTTTTAGGGCTCAGGCTTTAGGGACGAAGGGCTCCGTGTTTCGGGATTTAGGGCCTTGGGTTTGGGGTATAGAGGCTCTAGGGTTTAGGGTTTAGGGTTTAGGGTTCATTCTTCTTCCGCAAGGGGGCTTTTTCAAACATGTGCTTCTTGGTGGACTCTTTCAACAGAATCCCAGGTGGGCATGGGTCGCCTGGATCTACAGAGAGCTCCAAAAGCAAGGTCACCTATCTGACATTGACCTCAGGCTGTTTTTGGAGAAGGTCCTTCAAGCTCCTGGGTTGCTGTCAAGGAACTTAAATTAAGTTACCATAATGGGTATACATAGTAAATAATAGGGTTTCCCCAATATAGTAACTTAATTTAAGTTCCTTAACAGCAACCCAGGCTCGTGGGGGTACTGGAAGCCTCCTGACCCATATCGATACCCAACTGCCCTTCCTCTACGTCCAGCTGCTCTCAAGTTTAGTGCATTTCCTGACCATGGTTATGGCTGCAGACTGTGGCGTGATGACAGGGGCTTGGCTCATATCTCCCAGTATCTGGGCTTTTGTGGAACAAAAAATGTCATTTTTATGGATACCTGGGCCCAGTATCAATGAAAAAAGATCATTTTTAATGGTATCTCAACAAGGTATGGGAAGCCCAGTGTTGAAGTTTGTGCAGATGTTGATGGTCACTTACTTTTACAATGGCTGCCTGGAGATAGGGCGAAGCTTTGCGAATCCTTGTGGCCATGACTTCTCTGACTTCCCACGCCATGCCTACCACTTCTGGATGCGACTGGGTTGCTGTTAAGGAACTTAATTTAAGCTACTATATTAGGGAAGGAACGTATTAGTTATAATAATATATACCCATTATGGTAACTTAATTTAAGTTCCTTAACCCTAAACCCTATATCCCCTCTATAACCATATGCACCCCCATGTACCCCTATAACCACTAAATTATGGTAACTTAATTTAAGGTCCTTAACAGCAACCCAGGCGAAACGAAGCGGAGTTCTTTCATAGCCTCCTGGAACAGGCCCCCCAGGCCGGCGTCGAGATGCTCCAACAGGCCTCACGACACCGCAGCTCGAAGTGAGCTATGGTCTCAACTCCTTAAAGGGGGCTTATTTAGGAGATTATATAGGGCTTACGGTTTAGGATTTAGGGTTTAAGGTTTAAGGTTTAAGGTCTAAACTCCTTAAAGGGGGATCATATACCCCTATTCTATAGAGGAGTAGTAGAGGGCTTATTAAGTGTGATACTAGGAGTTTAGACTATAGCTCAAGTAGAGCTGTCCAGCTGCTCCACCTTGTGGTGCAACAGCCTCACAGGAGGCCTTTTCCCAGCTTGAGCGGGTGCGGCAAAGCATCGCAACCCGTGTGAAATCTAAATCCTAAGCCTTAAGCAGTCCGTGTGGAAACTCAAGCAGTTTGCAGCACACCGGGTACATGACATCATGTCGTATTGGGACCCCTAGAATGCCCTTGAAATTCTTATCCCTAGTTGAGGACACTCTAAAGGTCCTAGGGGATTTTGCTGCAAAGGGTACCACATCATAGGTTCCTCATGATTGGAGTTGATACGAAAGCCCTCAACCTTAAACCCTAAATCCTAAACCCATACTGTTCAACTGCCCACAGGGTGGAAGTGCAGCGCCAGTTTCGGAGAGCCTGACAAGAACAAGAAGAGCTAACCACCATCCCAAATAGGGTTTAGGATTTAGGAGGGTTTAGGGTTTAGGGTTTAGGGTAAAGGGTTTAGCCCCAGACAGTGTACCCCAAACCGTAACCAAACGATGTGCAAAGAGGATCCAAATCTCCAAACCCAAAATCTTGGATCTCAAGCCCTCGGAGATCTCGAGTACTCGGTGACCCCTGCGTCCGATGTGTGGAAATGCTCGAAAAACATCTTTGGGGCTTCGGGGATGTGAGAAGTATTTCATTTGGGGATACTATGGTACCCAATATAGAGTAAGATTATATCCTCCTTTTGGGTTATAGGATTTTTTATAAGAAATACACTCCTACTAGGTTCAACCACGAAAAAAACGCTACTCATGTGTCATTCTTGAATGACAACCTGTGCCCTTTTGCAGGGACCCCTGCTTCAGCGTGACACATCAGCACTACTATTTGCTTAAGAACCCTTAGAAAATAGGAGTCCCTATAGTACCCTTATCAGGAAGAATATTTTAAATTTTTGGGTGGTTCTTAAGCAACTAGTAGAGCAGGATGATGAATTATGGTCTTCATTCTCCGACGCATCCGGCCTATGCCCCTGAACCCTAAGCCCGTGAATCCTAAACCCTAAATCCTATACAAGGCAGATGCCTGAACAGTGAAGCAGGTTCAGAGCAGAAGCCTGAAGAATTATCCTTATGAGCTACGGGCTGCGGCTACAGTCAGGGTGAGGGGTTTAGGGTTTTGGGTTTCGAGCTTAATGTTCAAAGAGAGGGGCCTATTCAGGAATGTACTAGAACTTAAGTCCAGGGTTCATATGGGTGGTTGTCAAAATTATGGTCCCTTTGTGGGTACCCTTACTATTAGGTGCCGTATTATAATAGGGACCCCAAAAGGGACCATAATTTTGACAACCAGCCATATCAAATTTCTGATGCGTTGAGCCTGGAGAACCCTAACAGCCCTGAACCCTCACATGCTATACCCGAAGCCTCACACCTAAAACATAAACCCTACACTCTAAACCCTGGACATGGGTCCTAAACCCTACACCTAAATCCTGAAGTCTACACTTACATCCTCAACCCGAAGCCCCAAACCCTAAACCCTGAACCCTAAGCCCCAAACCCCAAACCCGAAACCCTAAACAGCCGTATTGTCATAACCTGCCCACATCAGGACATGTTTGTAGTTGTCCGACTCGTACCCCCACATGGAACGACCTCGAGTGCCCGCAAGAGGCTTTTGGGCCTTGGCGCTTCAAGGTTAAGAGCGGGGAAAGGTTCAGAGTTCCGCTTTTGGGATATGGGGTCGTTGTCTGAGACCCTTAATTAATAAGCAGTGTCTTCGCCAGGCCCTGAAGCTTCGCTTGCGCCGTTTGAATGAGCAGGCGGGCAAGGCGTGGAAGTGTTTTTTTTGCGGGTCAGTGGTGCTTCAGGAGAAGTAGGCCTGTGGGATTGTTGTTGGCATCTATTTCCTCATTCCCTACTGAGCACCAGGTGGTTTTTGATGGAGGCTTGACGTCACGTATGGTGGAACGATTGCAGGAGTATATCAGGGTACGTACATATGTCAATGACTACGTACATGCAACCTCTCTCTCTCTCTCTCTCTCTCTCTGTCTGTCTTTCTCTATATATACATACATACATACGTACATACATATACACGCTTGTATATGTATACGCGCATACGTGAGTATGTAGGAAGTGTTTGGGGCAATTAAACCTTTCCCCATAGTCGTACCCCCCCCACCCCGAATATTAAATACTCCCAATATACTATGATGTACCACAGTGGAGATTATTTAGTAATACGGGGGTGAGGGGGGGGGTTTAATGTTAGGGGGCGAGGAAGTGGCCATGGATGGGTTTGAGGTCAGGGTTTAGGGCTTGGGGCAGCAGTGCAGTATTTTCTTTGGGGATATTATGGTACCCAATATAGAATAAGATTATATCATCTTTTTTGGGTATAGTGTTTTACACAAGGATTCAATCTGACTAGGTTCCACCACAACCCAAAACCCCTAAACCCCTAAACCCTAAACCCTAAAACCCTAAACCCTAAACCCTAAACCCTAAAACCCTAAACCCTAAACCCTCAACCCCTAAACCCTAAACCCATAGTCAAGTCTCTGCAGAAGCATGCGGCACCCAAGAGCTTTGCTTAGCAATCAGAGCGTCCAGAGAACCTTTGAGGTGATTGATCAATTCCCGTGAATACATCCTTCCACTGCCCAAGGTTTAGGGTTTTTAGGGTTTAGGGTTTAGGGTACAAATAATACCTACATTGGGCCCCAAAGTCTGTAAATATTACCTACATTGGGCTATTTGGATCCCTAGGGCAAGGTTAAGGGTTTTTAGGGTTTAGTCGGAAATCGTCCCGTCCTCCGTTGTATCCGTAGAATAAGGTGCGCTCATCCAGTTCGCAAAGCGTGCATGCCCACGCAACGTAACCTCCAGTCACGACTGCATCTGTTTCCCGGTGCATCCCTGACTAGAGCATTATATCGGCCACTCACCAAAACATAAACGGGCTAGGTAGGGAAAAGCGAAAATTATAGCCAGGGAACCTCGTACAGCATGTTTCTCACAATTTCCATAATTGAGAACATTCGTGTTTCGTAAGATACCTGCTTAGCCCCTTAACCCTAGATCCCGTATCATTTCACTTTCCATTTCGTTCTCCAGGTTCTTGTTTCCGTGTCATTCTCCGTGATGAACCATGTAGGCCCGTGGTTCGCAACTTATCTAGCTAGTCTATCCCTACACATTCCTCGCCATCAAGCCCATGGATCCCTCCCCCAAAACTCTCATGTCCCCCCATGCACCTACCCCATATGAGCTGTATTCTAAACTCCTGAAAGAGCGGGCTTATATAGGGGTGCAGTAAAGGGGATACTAGGAGTTTAGACCCTAAACCCTAAGCCCTATATGCGGATGACATATAACGCCCCTTTCTTTGGAAACCCTTGTTGGGACCATAATCCCTAAACCCTAAACCCCCCCCCATACCCTGGACCTGCCTTCAGCAGGCAAAGGAATCGGTCCGGAGCGCTGAGTTGTGTGCAGAGGCGGGTTTAGGGTTTACGGTTTAGGGTTGTTGATGATCCCCAGTTAGGGAGTCAGGTTATAGTCTCCCTTAAGTAGATAAGATATGGCTTTGGGTATGTTATACTAAGATCCCCATGTACTCCATATGCTATGTACTTAAGGGGACTAAAGGTTCTGGTTGAAGGGCTTTAGAAACATGGAGACCGGGTTTACATAGGAGGTGATAGGGATCATATTTGAAGTTCCCTGAACATGATTGTCAGCTTGATTTCTCTTATCTATATCGTCTTTATCCCTCAGAATCAGCCAGAAGTTATACAGGCTACCATACCAAAATTGCATGGAACTTTGAGTTTCGGGGCTAAGGATCCAGAGAGGGTTGGCAGATGTAGGCTTTAGGGTCTTGTGTGTGGTTTAGGGGTTGCTGGGCTTGGGGCTTTCTCACCATGGTGTGAGTTTTGCATAACCCACAAGTGGCTACAAAGCAGGTTTTGGTGTTAGGATCTCCATGTAAGGAAGCGTATTCCCAACAGACGCTTTCTTACAAGGACATTCGGAACAACCCCGCATACCTGAAATGATTACATCCTCCCTGCGTTTTCAATTTTATTTCCATTTGATTCTGCACTCTTAGGGTCATAATATTCCCCATAAATCCAGGTTTACCGTTGTAGTGTCTCTGGCAATTCCCTCTACATCCTATACAGCTCCTGTAGACTCCCTAGAAATGAGCTAACCCCCAACATATTTCTTCTAGCCCATCGTCCCGACCTACAGAAGGAACTTCTTTAGTGCATCCAGGTACGAAGACACTGGAGCTATAGCCGGGTTGTAACCCATATCCCCTATAGTTACTATTGTTGATAGCACTAGTGTTTCCTAATCAACTTGCCTAGGTATCCACCCTAATTCATAGTAGTTTCTATGAAATTTTCCATTAATCATCCCAGTAAAACCCCAATATAACCTTAAACCCTAATCCCTGAACCCTAGACCCTAATAAGCCAGTAATTTCCCTGTCATGATGGCAGGAGCACCGGGCACAGGCCGAGGCACTCGCAGAAATCGAGAGGCGAGGTTGTCCCCTGGTGTTTTCCTTCACTAAACCCCAAACCCTGGTATGGCATACAGCTATAAGCAGATCATATCCCACGGTCTGACAATTGCTAGTTGCTAGTGTAGATACAGGGGTTTCCTCCTTCAGGGAAATGCGCGGGAAAACGCCCAAGTTGTGATCCTGCGATATTCCGGTGTCTCCTTGTTGTAGGGGCCGCAATACTTACCAGCATCATGGTGTCAGTTCCTTGGTTGTGTATAGGGTACCCTGAATAGACCTCAAGCATACAGTCGTTTCTTATTTGGGC